ACATGCGCACATATTTTCTCCTGTTCCTCGACTCCAATATTTTTCAATTTGTCTTTCGCCAACTTCCACACATCATCAAATTTAAAAGTTACATTGTGTGCTGCGACATGATTTTTAAGCAACGCCCATATGCTTTTGATGGGGTTGAGCTCAGTATGGTAGGGTGGTCAATGCAAAACTAGAACCATGTTGTGCTAATAAAATTTATTTAATGGTTAATTTCGTAATTTTTATTCTTTGTTTTCTTATTTTCAAAAAATATATTTCGTTCCGATAACTACTTTTGTCAAAAGAAATAATAATAAAAAGCGTTATCAATCACACCTTCTCTTCAAGCCACTTTTTATAATTATTGTCATTCATGTCGTCGTGATATTTACCTAAAATGTGTTAAATTTTGTGGTGCCAACTTAAAAAACATATAAATATGACAGTAATAAATCTTAATTTTGCCATTATAACAACAAATTAACAATTTTTACTGTTACATATTTATTTTTTGTTAGTTTTAATTTTCATTTATACTTACTATAATTTGTAATAAAATATTAATTAAAATATAAAGTTAAATTTTTACCACATTGGCACCGCTGAATTTGCCGTCACGACCTACTCTTATATATTTATTAAACTCTTCAAATGTAAATACAACCTTCAGTGTCCTTTTGACAAACTAAAAATTCTTTTGTAATTTCAAAAACATTATGAATAATTTAAGGAAACTAAAACGTTCTACAAGAAGGTTCTATAGAATTTTGCGATAAGTTGAAAAGTTTTGCAAAATAGGTTAAATATCTTGTAAATTTACTGTAAATTCAAGTTTTACCTTAAATAACTTTTTAAATCGGATTTATTATAAAATAATAAAAAATATTTTTTGTAGAAAGTTTAATTCCCTACAAAAATATAATTTGCAAGGATTTTTTATTATAATTACAAAATTAAAAAAACTTTCCATTTTTTGTCATTTTACATTAGTTGATTTTTTTGAAATTCTATACAGGGTACACCAAGAATCCTTCTAGGTATAGATTGTGGGTATGGGTATCTTTTTTATTTGAAGAGCTATAAGATCGGTTAAATTAGACCGCAGAAGTTGCGTAATAACAAGTCTTTTAAAAATAAAAAAATTTCCCAATAATTTGAAAATAAACTGTCAAAAGAAAAAATCGTTATAACATTTTAATATCTGAAAATTAAAAAAAAGTTATACATGTTAACATTTATCTAGATTTTCATCCAATTATAAATTTTTTTCGCACACTAGATTTTGAGATACCATCATATCTCTTATTTTTTCTATGACTGTTATATTGGAACTTTAAACTGTAAAAACAAAAGATGGTGATAATAACTCGAAACAGAAGCGAAGGAATTTGAAAAAAATGTAGATAAATTTGTATGTTTACATCTAAAACTTACTTTGTTTTAAATTCCTAAGAATAACAAAGTTATAACGATTTTTAGTTTTAAAAGATTTTTAATTTCTTTTAAATATTTTAAGAGCCGCTGGCTTTTTTCCAAATTAGAAATTCCACGTTAGTTAATTTTCTGGTAGCTCTTTAAATACAAAAAATACACATAGAGTTCACCCTGTATATAAAGTTTATATATTATATGTTTAGGTTACGGTATGTCCCCGGATGTGCCAAGAGGAGATATTTTTTTATTTTTTATTTTACTTGAAAAATTTAGTCCTGATAAAAGTTTTTGCTTAATCCAAAACGGCTGAATCAGTTCTCATCGTTTTAAATGTTCTTTTTGTTCCAGAGAAACACCAAAATATAGAATAATTTAGTTAAAAAAGTCTCAAAAATTACTTTTCTTTTCAACTGACTTTTGTGTATCGCTCGAAGAGAAGTAAAGGGGAACTGAGCTGTGCGTTCAAGAAGGTGGTAAATGGTTTGAGTAAAATTTTTAATGGTAGTTTTATTTTCCTTGTCAAATTGTTGTGATAAAAACTTAATAAACAACATTTTTTAACTAAATTGAGCTATTTTTCGATGTTTCTTTAGAACGGAAAGAAAATTTAAAACGGTGACTGATTCAGCCTCTTTTGCTCAAGCAAAAACTTTTATGAGGAATATATTTTTCTAGTAAAATTAAAAATAATTTTTTTTTACTCTTTCTAACCCTATCTAAGGAAATACTGTATATACAGTGTGTCCCATATAGGCCATCTTTAAAAGAATAATAGAAAACTAAAATATAAAAAACCAGTGGGGGTAACCTAAAAATCTTCAATGGCACTATGTCATGTGATATCGTGTTCCGAATTTCCTTCAATTCTTTAAATAATTCTACAAACCAAATTTTGTTTACCATATTTTTATAAAAAAGACGCATTAATTAATTGTCATTGTGATATGTGTAAAATGTTCTTCTTATGTAAGACAATAATAAAGACGATTATTAAATTCTTGTAGTACTTTTTTAAAAGTTTCTGATGTCGTAGATCTTGTAGCGACTTAAGTGATGTCTGATAAACTATCGACCTTATGTATTCCCCATAAAGTCCAAGGGGGTTAAATCTAGTGATCTTGGGGGCCACTTTAATGTAAGTTAAGCCAATTTCTAAATAACAATGCATTATCATGCAGTGGTGCCCCGTCGTGTTGGAAGTGATGGTTCTCCTCACTAAGTATCAGATTTACATCCCTCTCTCTCTAATCTTTGAGTTATTGTGTAATTATTACATCAATGGTATTTTCACCCATAATAGAACAAGTGGTATGATTATCATCGATGATATTTTCGAATTAAAACCGAGCTGCAGACGAGTGAAATGTGCTGATTAGTTTCAATGAGTAAATATCATCGATAATTAATCATACCACGAGTTATATTTAGTGAGAATATATAATGAATTTTAGGATTTAACGAATTGTCAGTTTGACATTTAAAATTAAAATGTGCTTTAAAATATAAAAATTATTATCGTTTACACCAACCCATCGATCTTTTAGAGTTTATAAATTATTTTAATCATTAAACAAACACATTATTTAAATGTCAAATCAAGAAAAGTATTAATATCCTTAGCAACGTGTAAACAAGGTGATAAAAAATATTGTTGTGATAAAATGCGTAACCATGGAATACTGGCATTTTATTGGTTCTTTCATGAGTAACAGTTAATAATTTAAATATAAATTGCAAAATTTGGTGACAACAGCTGTCAAGTTTTGCCGCGGGTAAACTTGAAAAAACTGCTAACAGGTGATGTCATACAGTTTTTCCACCTAGAAACCATTTGTAATTCAAAATTGCGCGTTTGTGATTGGTGGAAATTAAGACGAGGAAAATAATCAATATTATAAATTTTAATGTCATTGATAAATTTTACTCTCATTAATAAACTAGTAAGTAATTACTTTATAAATAACTATGCTAAATGGATAACTATATAAAACAACTGTAAAAAAATACTGTGTTTTTATTAAAATTAGTACTTTAAATTGCTGTAAGTACTTTTAAATACCATTTTATCACCTATAAATCAATCCTATGTAAATTGCAGTAGCATAATGTGCCAACAAGTTATAGAAAATTAAAAAAATCCTTAATTTTCAGTTATTTTAATAAAATCATAATTGAAATACTAATTAGCAAGATTAATTGCTAAAACTTAAAGGAATTTTTGTTTAGATAAAAACATTAATATTTTGTAAAGTAATTCACCCAAATATCAGGGTTTAAAAGTTGATGCCTGATCCACCTTGATATATTAAAAAATAAAACTTTTGACAAATAACCTTGATAAAATTTAATAAAGTTGGAAAAAGCAATCTTGTTTAACACTTTACTTCTTTATTTAAACCTATTTTATGTTCAAAATAACAAGGGTGCTATCCTAAATATCATATTACTGTTTTTATATCAAGTGCATCGTAATTTATTTAAAAATTAAATTAAATTCTGCCTTTTGATATTTTTACTGTTTTGGTTGGGGTTAAAAGAAATTTTACTTTAATATAATATTTATTTATAATTTTAATACTTGTTTTCCAACAAAATTTTGTTGAAATTAATAACAATATTTGGTATCAAATCTTGTTACCATTATTTATTACTAAATATAACCCTGAAATAGATTGTCATGAGAAAAAATACCCTAATACCTGACGAAGTTAAGAGGGTTTATTAATTAAATTTCGTGATTGGCACGCTTGCGTGACACTATTGCCAATTTCTCAAGTGGATCAACACAACAAAGACTAACCGAATTTAGCAATAAACAGACTCCTTCCTTATTGCACATTTCTAATAGAGAAGCAATTTAATAGATTCGAAATTTATCTCTACTAAAGAGATTTAGGTCTTAAAAGACAAACTTTAACTACTTCAGTTGGATAGTTGCACTTGAGAGCTAATTTTAGTTTTTATTGAATACTTGTTCTAAACTTAAAAACAGATCACTAACTGGACCAATTAAGTAGCCATGTACGTACACTACTTTATTTGTTATGAAATAATTTATTATATATTTTTTATAAAATTAAATTCTCAGTTTTAATTTTTAACATAACCCCTTTTAACCTCACTACCCATAATAGTTATTTTAGATTTTAATAAACTGTATTTTTGGAGCAAAAACGCTATATTTTTACAAATTACAAGGCCTACTATGTCAGTTTTTAAAAGTAATTTTTTAAGAAATCATATTAGCAATTTTTTAAACAAAATCTGGATTTACCACCCCTCAAAACAACCCTATACTAAATTTTATTAAAAAAACTACTTAAAGATTTTACAGGGGTGAGCCGCAAACAAATGGGTCACACTGTATTACATTATTATATGTAGTTTTTTCCAAGTGTAAAAGTTGTTGTCTTGTTTTGCAGCAATCCAAAATATTAAAAAAATAAAAAACAAAGTTAACTTTGTAAACACAATTTAATCTTGACGTACTAATGCATACGGAAAACGTTAATTAAAACCCATAACTACTAGTTTTGTCGAGTTACCGGCTACTTTACAATACACAAATTACCGCTTACCTTGTGATGTCGAACCACAGTTAATTCTCTATTAGATCCCAGCCAATTTTGTTGCCTGCAACAAATATACAAGTTAGCTTTGTTCTGAAACTCCTAGTGCATTCATATTCATTCAATGATTCAAATAATAAAAGTAATAATAATTTTATACAAACAGATTTATTTTCTCGTTTTATATAATGTGTAAAACGTTTGTATACTCTGTAGTATATGACCAGGCATTGTTTTTTTTATCGAGAAAAATTTCTTGTGACAGCAAATTTAGGGATGTCCATGTAGTAAAAATAAAATGTATATATCACAAAAAAATGGCAATAATTAAGGTTTAAAAGGTTTAAGGTTCATATTTTTGTGTTTCTTAAGTTGGCAGCACGAAATTTAAAATAAATTAAAATGGTGTATAACATAATTTTAATTTCTAGAATTATAATTATATCGTAGTATAATTTATAATGGACGTACTAAAATTATCTGTACATTATTTTAATTTAATTAAATTTAGGTATAATATAATTTAAATTATGTTAATAAAAATTATTTACACATAATTGTAATATCAGAATTAAATTTAAACACACATAATTTGTATTCACATAATTAAAATTATTCTATACATAATTTTAATTAAATTAAAATTATACTATTCATAATTTTAATAAAATTAAAATTATACTATACATAATTTTAATTAAAATAAAATAATTGATTTTTATTTGGCAGAAGCAACATTTTATAAATTTAAATTATGTTAAACACCATTTTAATTCTAGCAAGAAAAATTATATCCTACATTGTTTTAAATATTTAAATTAATATTACCATATAAAAAACATTGCAAGTTAAAGAAGGATTTAAATAAAAATCAATGCAATATGCAATTATTTTTTGTAAAAATTTTTATTATATTATTCTGCAATGTTAAAACGGTTTGCCATAAATTTATACGTTTTTAATTAAATTATCTTTAATCAATTTTCTGTAAGTCAACTAAAATGTCGTCGCTAAATTTCCTTTAACTTAGTTAATAAATTAATCGTCTAGCGGTAATTAAGTTGTGACAATTGGATTTTGAATGCTTCAAAAGCGTAAAAGCCAAAACTTACTTGATTTTACAGCGATGAAATCTCCTACTACTGATTTTTATTTTATTGTTTTTATGGAATCGTTAATGCTTCAAATTTATATCGCAGATTTGAATACAGTTGTTTAAGTATACAAATATTTGAAATTAAAATAGCTTAAATCTGTTCAATGTCCAGTGGACATAGTCCATATTTTTAAATTGTTCATATCGTTTTTGGGTGATTCAAGCAAAAAGGGAAAAGTTACATGTGGAAGGATTTTAAAAAGCTCTATTATTTGTAAAAAATATTTCCAAATATAAAACTGTATAAACGAACATTTTTACAATATACAGGGTGCCTGGAAACTCCGAGCTCTTCATATAAAGAACAAAATATTATGTTATGTTGGTATTATATTTGATTAATTAAATTTGGGTGCGGATATAATCGTTAAAGTGGGATGAGATAATCTCATATGAACCTTAGTAAACCATTTTGATGCTCATAAACATTTACATTTAGTAGTATTTCCATTATCAAAGATTTAGCTTTTTATATTACGTTTTGAGCAGTCGCCAAATTAATAATCCCGCTTAACTAAAGGGAAAATTTAACATCCATTTTCTTAAAGTAAATGTATCTGAACTAAATATACCCATGTACGTTTGAAATTAGAGTATTCAATTTTAGTCTTTTAAATTAAAATATAAAAAATCTAAAAATAATTTTATTTCATTAATATTATCTCTATTCCTTTTATTTATGTAGATTAATTTTAAAATTTTCAATTAGTTCATAGTTTTACTGATTGCATGAATGTCAAATAAGAAAGTTAAATAAAAGTACAGATATTTTAATTTAACTTTTGAAAACTAAAATAAAAAGTTTTATTGAACATTTTTCATGAAATTTTATAGTTATTTATATTTAATGTTTTCAAAAAGAACCACAAAATTTACTTAGATATCGGCGATACAGATATGGATCAGCGTATGGGCGATACCAATAATACGCGTATAGTATTATTATGGGACCGACTATGACACAACTCAAGTTTCTTTTTTACTTCTTTGTTGTTTTTCTTTAGTTTATGATTCTGATTTTGACTTTTTTAACAATTTTTATGGATTTTAGATTTTAAAAACATTTTTAAAAACAATTTAAAATAAACTTCTTAAAATATTTATTTAAATGGTAAACCACGTAAGGTAACCCATATACTTATCTCAAAAACTATTTACTTGACTAAAAAAAAATGTGTAGAGAACAAAAATGCATGAATTACAGGGTTTGGTTTTCCATGTGTTTTCCCAATAAAACACCCTGTATTTTTTTTAGTATTTTTGCAATCTAAACTGTTTTTAAGATATACTTTGTTAATTTAATAGTTAAAAAATTAGGGGACCTTTTAAATAAACTAAAGATTAAACAAATTTTCTTTAAATGTAGGTAGTTGTTAAAAGTTAAAAACTATTGTTTTCTAGTTTGGTTGCATTTTTTATTATTAACTAAGCTACGTTGATCATAACTTTATGGCAAAATATTATACAGGGTGTTTTCTATACCCGGTGGAAAATTGAATTTTTAAAAGTTAAAATATTTTCTGTGCGGTTTGGGTCCATTTTAAGGGGTGCCCTAAAATTTTATATCCATGTCTACCTTCAGGCGTGGGTGGACGTAAATTTTTGATGTATAATAAAACCGGTCGAAAGCAGATGAAAATCTTATTTGCCCATTATGCTCGCTTTGCTATATCCGCGAACGTCCGGTTTTACCAGGTTTTCGTCTGGTAAGTGTGCCATGGTCAATCATATTTAATTTTTTTTGCTTGGTTGTACATATTTATTTGCTTTATGTCTGCATTGATCCGGTTTCATCCGCAAAGCTTGGTTTTCGTTCGGTTTTATCCGCGCTTGCCTGCAGTTTGTTTTTCTGTTTTCGTCTGGTTTCTTCCACGCTTGCCACCTTTTTGTTTGTCTGCCTTCTTCCGGTTTTTTCCACAAATGCCTGATACATCCACTAACGTCCGGTTTACCGGTTTTTCATCCGGTTAGTACACCACCATCAATTCCCCTCAATTATCGACTTTTTCTGCATTTAGTTTTATGCGTTTTAATCTGGTTTCGTCGTTTTCTTATAATTATGCAACAAAATAGATGTAACAACTAAGGGATAGATAGACTCTAGTCTCTAGTGAAACTAGTGCATAGATATACAGATAGTTATTAAGCCATTTAGCATTTAAAACAGCAGTTTGACCTGATTTACGCACCAGTGGTCTCCAAAGTAACTATTTTACACCCATACCTTTGCGTATTAATTACCCTTTAAAACAGTGGTGAAATTTATACTGAGTGCGCGCGCAAATTACATATACTTACTTAAACTATCCGCCATTATCAGATTTTGCCTACATTTGGTTTTATGTCTGCATTCATCTGGTTTTATTGGAAAATGTCTAATTTCGTCCGGATTTATTAACGTCTGCCTGCATTTCGTTCTATGTCTGATTTCATCCGGTTTTATCCGCAAATACAAAATTAACCCTTACGACAAAAAATTGTTAGCTAAAAGAAGCAATTTAAAGGTAAAGGGTTCAACATCAGCAAACTACTAGGTACACTTTTTAACTAAAAAGCATTAGATTCTGAACAAAAGATTTCATTTATTAAAATAGATTAAAAGTTGTTAAACTGATAAAACTTTTTATACTTTTCTGCTTTTATAAATAAGTAGAGGGTGGGTCAATTTAACGTAAATTAAGGATATACTTGACGGTTTGTATGACCTTCTTTATATGCAGGGTATGTGGGTGGATTGTTTTACTGAGAATATGGCTGCTAGGATGTTTGTTTTTTTTAACATCTCAGAGACAGTTATGTTACACATTAATTATAATAAGGTGCTATTAAAAAGGTTTAATAAAAAAAATGGACTTACATTGAGAGTAAATTAAAATCTCCCAATACTATTATTTTTCTCTTATTAGGCCAATATTCTTTAATTTTTACGAGGATTTTACATTCTTTGCATTTGCCATTTTGGATATTTTTGTACCCATTTTCGTCCACATAAAATATAAACTTTTCGGTTTAATAAAACTTCAGTGATATACTCGCCCTTTTGTATGCTAAACTGGATCCTTATAACTTGAACATGGTAAACCCTAAATCTTACTCTCTAAGTTTAGAATATTTATACGTAATGTGGCTTTACTACAATGCATTTTTTCTCATAACGTGCAAAGTAGCTTATTATATTTATATTTATTAAACAAACAAATGTGTTTATTTCACATAAATTGGTTTTAGTTATAATATTATAATATTTTGCTTATACCTAAGTTAATAATCGACTAAAATAACTCTATGTATAACTTCAGGGTTAAATAAATGGAAAACCATTATTGGACTATTTCGTTATTGGCTACTGCAATAAATGTTTTCATGAAATAGACAAATTTGCTCCTATTTTAATCTAACACATGTTTAATTTTATAAAATACTTTAATAATTTTAAGCTCGTATTTATTAAACGTAAGTGCCCAATTAAATAGTTTAGAGGAAATATATAATCTAATAGGCAATGTTGTTTGTTTAACGATACAAACATTTTTTAAAATTTGAAAGGGAGGTTAAAGTTGTCTGAAAGAAGTCGAATTTTATAATTGGTTCCAATCACATTGACGTAAATGTGATTTGAATCAATCATAAACCAATCATGACCTATTCACCAAATATTGATTCCTACCATGAATTACTAGCCCATGATGATTTTTATGGACCTAGGCCATAATCAATTACTTCAGTGTCGATTGTTAACAACAATAACATAGATTTATAGACCGCTCATCGCACAGTGGTCGGAAACACCCTAAAAGCTGGCGAAAATTTAAATAGAGAGCGAATTTATTTGAAAATAAATACCTTTATGTTTTTGGGGTCCGAGAATTCGAATTTGAGGTCAAAATAAAATAAAAATACAAAAAACC